CAGTTAAAATTATTTCCTATTTTTGAAGCTGTTATTAAAAACTATGTCTATATTGTTGCAATAAAGAGTTCATCTTGATAATTTTGCTATCCAGATTCAGTGAAAAAAAAGCTGTCTTCATTTCATCTTTATCTTTTTTGAAACATGAAGGGCTCTTAAAACCTTCGTCAGCAGGGGTATAAAAAGAGACAATGCAATCAGTAATTGCGTCATGCTACTACGTCCACTTCTCAGACAACACGATATACTTAAGACATATAATTTGTACTTTCTATTAGGTCCCCTAAATCAATGAACAGTAATTAACTTGCATTCTCGAACTCGCACAGTAAAAAAAAAAAAGTGAACGAAACACTTAAGAAAATATAGTTTTCTCTTCCAGAAAGCTTCTATTTGCTCTAAAATGATTTTTCTCTCTCTATCTCTGTCTTCAAAGAATGTTATTTCTTCAGAAATTTGTAAAAAGCGCGTAAGAAGGTGCAGTGCTAATTTTAGTAGTCTTAATGGACATAGAAGTATGTTTCGAAAAAGAAAAGGAAATTCTAGGATTTTTGTATGTAAATTATTCTTCTACCAAATGAAAAATATTTTAGCGAGTTTTAATACGATTTACAAATGGAAATGAGATTCGGAAATCTGTTGTTTTTTCGAGTAGGCTCTAGTTTTAAAACTTTTTTTTTTCGGTATTGTGACTTGGAAAATTGTATGTGTGTCATATTTCTTCTTTACTTTGAGCAAGTTAATTTGATCTTACGTTATTCATATTGCATGTACCTTAACGCCACTTTTAAAAGTGTCAAAATATTCTCCAAGAAAGGGAAACAAAAACTGCATTCCAAATTGCATTACAAAAAATCGCATATGAAATATGTTATCCTTTGCAGCAAAAGACATACAAAAAATTATAAATTTAAAAAATAATCATATACGGAGTGGTTATAATTAAAGTTGCTCTATTCAGAGGCCTGTAGAACCCGTTCTGCATATCGGATTTTGATTAAACTTGGAATATATGATATATGGTCCATGAGGAAAAAGTCTCTGTAACAACAACAACAAAAACACTCAAATTTTGACCATTAGAAGGAAATGTGGTGTCCAAAAAACGACAAAGAATGAGTTAGAATCATTAAAATGCATTCTATTACAGAATATGCTCAATATGTGCTCTACTAATATCCATATAACGGGTTGAAAGCGCACTACGGCGTTTTCAAAAGTAGGGCGAAGCAACTTACGAAGGATTTCAGCCACATGGCGTATAATGTTAGCTTTTAAATCAGGTAAAGTCCTAATTACTTCTCCATAAACACGTTATTTCAGAAATGTCCGCAACCAGAAATCACAGGGTTTAAATCGGGTGAACGAGAAGGCCATGCATCCAGAAAATGTCCGGATATTACACTATTATAGCCAAAGTTAGCACTAAGCACTGCTTTGACTTGGTGTCCAATGGGAGAAGTTGCTCCATATTGCATAAAGATTGTGACGGGCTCACGCGTCTTTTCATTAACATGTCCTTTGGGTTCTTTGGGGCCAGAATTAATGTAAACTCTTTTCCAACCAAACCCAAGAAGTGAAGCATGAAGGAAAGATGCAAATTACAATAAATTAAATATCAGAAGTTAGAGTAAGCGGTGTGGTAATTTGGGAAATGTTACAATAATCCGTGATTCAAGCGTGAAGAGATTTTGGAAAGGTTAAGTGACAGCCAACAGAAGTTATACGTGGCAGAGAGCCCTTAGGTCAAGGTGCATACCATTGCACTCCAATAAACCGCAACTTCATGTAGAATTATACTGATCGTTCGACTTAAAAGGTAGGAGTGACTATTTAATATTCGGAACTGTGATAGCCTAGGAACTGAGCTTAGGAGAGTTAGTATTGATAGTGGTCCGGGTTACGTTATTCGTTATTAGTATATATTGTGTGTTTAGCCACCGTATATATTAATATCTAATTTGTTAGAAGTTTAAGTTAAGTTCTTAATAAAGTCAAATTAAGATCATGGCAGCTTCCAGTTCTTCCTTTATCCCTACACCTCACGCTGATATTCAAGGAGAAGGGCACCCGAGAGGGGAGCCCTTACAAGGTAGGGGTTTGCACACATTATCGTTCCCGTAAAGCAGGAATGACCAACTGTTAAGGGAGTCCACTGTACCGTGCCCTCGTGGGAGATCATCTTTTAGGACCTTGGGGAGCGAGAGTATCAAAGAAAAAAAATCCGAGGATAAACTCAGCAATAAATCCCTACCGAGCAGTCGCGTAATCAGAATGCAGTGGTTGTTGATGCAAAACGTTAGTAAATGAAGTACCCTATATGCGGCAGTTTGGGCTAATTCACAGTCCCATCTAAAAAAAGGCAATTAAGGGAAACATTTTCCCCCATTTTAAAATTGATGAATGTCGTACGTAATTCTAACTATATATATTTATTTATACAGAATATCAACATAGAACGTATACCTAACTCAATTACGTTAATGGGAACGCTTAGGAATAGAAAAAAACTGTCAAATCAATTGGCGCTAATGGTAATATAGTCATTGGCTGTATTCTCACAACTTATTTCAGTTTTTATTATGTCGTGTAGGAAAGTATTAGTGTGTTATGTTATTCCTTAAGTATAATTTTGAGCAATAATAAAGTATATTTGAGCAAATGAAAACAAATTGCTGATAAAACTACACTTTGATCCAAATTGAGTAAACACATTGATCCAAAAAAACTACATATTATGCATTTTTTATTATTCGTCTTCATTTATGTCTAAACAAACTAAAATAGACAGTTACATACTAATATTTACTTCTTAACAAACTTATGGATATAAAAGGGTTAGGCTAATGGAACGAGATTATGAAATAGGCTCGATAGAAACATTAAATTTAGAGGGAGAAATAATATTTAACCCATTCTGGACCATGATCACATATACTTTAAATCTGTCGAAGCTCAAAAGTCATCCCGTTGGTGTGGTGTGGAAGTTAGGAGAGATGGTGCCGGCTCATGTGTCGTCCACGACACTTGACCATGGTTCGGAATTACGAGGTTCGTCGCCAAAAGCCCTCGTGTAGCTGGAGAACGAGATGTTAATATTCATTCACTGACTCAAAAAAATTTAATTTTATTTTACAATAATTCTTAAGAAAGATATCCCAAAAGTTTTAAATCAGGAGAAAATTTTTTAATCTAACTTATTCAATTAATGCTGTTATCAATCAGTTTATCACTCAAGTTTGTGAACATAAGCAAACAATATTAATAAGCTAAGATAAGCGACCCACATTCTCTCGAAGCCTTTAGCTCACGTGATATAATAATCATTATTTAGTAAGAATTTTTTGTAACTCTTATATTAACTTCAACAGCAGCTTCTGGCATCTATAACAGCCTTAGTTCCACTGAGCTTGAATAAAATATATCTACAATCTTAAAGATACACAATCTTGTATCATAAAGATATAATATGCACATTATTACAGTAGTTTTATCAAATAATTCAAAAACGAATTAATTTTTTTGCAGATTTTAAGAACTTAATTTAAGAATATAGTGAATAACAGAATAAAACAGAAACCGTATTCTTTAAAGTTAAGCGTTTTATTTAAAAAACAAGCAGGCTACTTCCAATTTTTAATTAAGTATATTTAGCTTTAATATGCAATAGCTCCGAAGGAAAAAAACAGAATCTTAATCTTCCAATATTCCTGAATAACATTCAGTATTTCACCATTAAAAGGAAGGGAATTTTATAATATTTTTATTATGCAGTAGAATCTGTTTTTGTGCGGTTCAATTTTATGCGATTTTATTTTTGTGCGATTTTTTTGGTTCGATCTTTTTTATGCAGCATAGGAATTTCAAAGGCCTAGGCACCACTGTAATGTTTTCCATCAATGTACATATATATTCTTAAGACATTCTGTTCATGGGAAGTACTTTCTCATAAATTTCGTAAGTAATTAAAGTATTTCTATGTGTAACTTTTTTTTTCTGCTCTTCTGAAAAATGTTGTATGTCAGCGAATTTGTTATATGTAAGTACTTATGAAATTTTCGAATATATTTTTTGCGTGGTTTCTTTTTATGAAGTCCCCATCTACCGCACAAAAACAGGTTTTACTGTATTTCTTTTTATATATTGATAACATTTTAATCAATTATTAATGAAGAATTCAAATTCCTGAATCACATTGCAAACATTCCTAGTGATAAAATGTATTCAAAAGCAGAATTGATCTAACTAATGTGCCAATCTTGTTCTTCTGGTTGATACAAGAGAGTCGATTATCAACAATAACGTTTTTTTTCTCTGTAAGCAAACAGTGAAGGCGAAAGACAAACTCTAACTCGTCCCCACAATCTTTCTTCTCCATTCTCAAGACATAAGAACATCCGGTCGTTTTCCAAAGACTCATAACGAGGTTTACACCTGCCGTTCGTTCAGAGTTCAAAAGTTATGAGCAGAGAGTTTGTAGTTTATGAGCAAAAAGGTTTACGTTTTAGCACATTCACTCGCTAATGTGACAGAAATAATTTTTTCTGTTCAAAAAAGAGGATTCTAGAAGGGAGCTTATTTAAAGAAGTAATATAATAAAAGACTAAACATAAAAATAAAAGACAGGTTTAATTGCATTTTACAAAAAAGTTTCAGGCGTCGAGTATAAATTGATACAAGGAATTTTATACAATACTTCCTTAAAAAACAAGTAAAACGAAAAAAATAAGTCAATCCTTACTTAGATCAGCAAAGAAAAAATTTATTTTACTTACTTTTTATTAAATAATTACAATTAATATAAATATGTATATACATATGGCAGAATCACAATGTTAAGTGGCAAAATAGAAAACTATTTTCCTTGCAATTTTCTATTTTCCTTTCTATATAGGGTTTTGAACTATTATTTTTGTTTGTTACGATTTATTCATAAATTAAATTTAATTATTCCAATAAAATAGAACAGTAAAATGAAATCACCTTCTCAGAAATTAGGCCATCCCAGGTGGGATTAGAATCCACGAACTTTGGATTAGAAGTCCAATCCGCTATCCATTACGCTATAGGGATACAGCGAACCATTTTCCATTTTATATAGGGTGTTGGACTATTATTTTTTTGTTACTATTTATTCATTAACTAAATAAAATCTTATATATTAAAATTCGTAGGTAAACGTATCTATGTAGGGATGTATATATCCCAATTTTCTCAAGAACCACAATACGCAGAAACTAGCAGAAGGTATCAAAATTTTGGGCATGATCCGAGGAATCCGTTTTGACCATTTATATTCCGATATTCCAATTAGTTAAAAATATATTATTTAAAAACCTTAAAACGCATTAAAATGCATCGTGGCGCCATCTGCAGAGAATATCGGAAAAAAATTATGTTTTTACAAAACAGCGAAATTTTGCATATAAATAATATTTAAAAATTAATGTAATAAAATTTATATATATATATATATATATATATATATATATATATATATATATATATATTTCAATTTAATTATTTTACAATTTTTAAATAAAAAATGAGTCGAAATCAGTTCCTTTTTTTGAATACGAATTATAAGTTGTTCCGCTTGAAAAAATATTTTACACTAAAAAAAAGTTCATGCTTTTCTATTTTTACCACGTGTAGATCAACATTATACGTGATCTGTACAAAGATTGATAAAATATCTTAAAAATTACGGTTAAAAAACATCTTTCTTTCAATTTAATTATTTTACAATTTTTTTTTAATATTTTCGGAACTTCCTTTTTCAGAGAGAGAGAGGGGGGTTTTTAAAACACGATCTAATAATTTTGTGATTTTGAAAATTTCTGTTCCATACATAAACTATTCTTTTTTTAAAAAAAATGTACTTTTGGGTTTCCGGTGGCTGCAAAATTAAACGAAAAAAATTGCCTAAAATGTCAGTAATAATTAATTAATTATAATTACATTCTTTATTTTTGTTTCATACTTTTTGATTACAAAAGCAATCGATTCAATGGCTATCTCTAAATTTTTCTTTTATTAATTACTTATAGAAATTTGATTTTAATATATATATACGTTTTTTTAAGGGGGTCACTTAACGAAAATCCATTAAATAATCGATTTTTCAATTTTGATTGAAACATAAAATTTCATTCTTTTTCTTTCTAATGCAGTTTAAATTTTTGCTCTAGCTTAATTAGAAGTATTTTTAATATTTTTTAAAAAGTTGTTTACATCTGTCAAACCTCAAAACCGCTGATTGCCACGCCCTCTCAAATCAAAACAAAAGACACATGCTACTTTTCAGCCTTATCAAATGGTTTAAATTGATTAAAAGAATTTATTTTGATCAGCAGCTTATCCAGGAAAGAAGTGAAGTGAATAGTTATAGATGTTTGTTTACTTACAGCCTATTTTTTACCTCCTTAAATGCAACGGATTTCTGCGATAGTTTTCAATAGTGTTTTCCATCAAAAACATTAATAAAACATTTACAAAACGTTTTTTAAACTCTGTTAAGTAATAAAATGTTTAAAAAACGAAAGAGTTTGGAAAGAAATGTACAACATTCCAAACTTTTATGGATTTAAATGTTGATAAGTCAGACAATTTCAACATAAATAAAAATCAGCTTTAAAATCTAAGTAAGGTAAGTTTAATAAAGAGTATGTTTCTTTTTAGATTCATTTGAATGTTTCTGTAAAATTCCTGACATTATACTGTTCTTTTGTGCTTTGAAACAACATTAATTACATAAAATTAATGTAAAAACCAAGGTATTCACATAAATTTTGGTCACCAAATCTAGGGTTTGGCTATATATACAAAATTGTTAATATGTTGTAACTTTTGTGGTCTTATTCAAACATTTCTTAGTACCAGGTTTTCTAAAACAGTAGTTAATCAAAAAAGGTACAAAATTATATGAAGTGGACACAATAGAATTTCATATGCTATGAGGTCTATTTAAAAAGTAGCAGTTGCAAAAATATTTTGCGGAGTTATGCATTTGTCACTTACACCATAGTGGTTTTGTGATTCCATGCATACATTAAATAATGTGACAGAGAAAGTAACCAAAGTGTCTATGGCTTTAGCTGCTGCCGAAACAATATTTAATAATGGATAACCAAATGTACCAGTGGCTATCAATGGTACCTGGCTAAAAATGAGCTATATATTTCTAAATGGTGTTGTTACGGCAGTTAGTTTGGATACTGGGAAAGTTGTTGATGCTAAAATATTATCGCAGAAATGTTTGTGTAATTTTAACAGCGATGTACATAGCAATGAGTGTTCGGCAAGTTACATTGAAAATAGTAAGGGAATGGAAGTTGAAGAGGTGCACTTCTTTTTTTGTATCTCTCATCACTCGCAGACATTACACAATTTACGATATACACAATATTTGGACTATATGGGAACTCTAAAGCATACAAATCAGTTTTAGAATCTAAAGATATGTCAATATTGAACAATTAGAATGTGTTAATCATGTTGAGAAAATGATGGGGACATGACTTAGGGCCTTAAAATTAAAATTAAAAGACAGAAAGCTTAAAGACAAAAAATCTCTAGGATGCCGTAATGGCTTGACAGATGCTGAAATAAACAAATTGCATAGTTGCTATGTTTTGGCTGTTCAAAACAACTCGGGAAAATTTGTCAGCCATAAGGCAAGCTATATGGGCTATAATTTTTGATAAAATGTTCACAGGTTTGAATCTACGACACGGTTTATGCCCCATGGGATGTGACTTGTGGTGTAGATTTAATATGTCCACATACTGAAAGGTTACACATACAAGCATAAACACGACTTACCTATTGTAATTAGGAATTACATAAACAAAGTATTTAGAGGTCACTAATCTTGAACATTTATCTGAATGCTTGCTTGATAAAACTCAAAATATTAGTGAAAGCGGAAATAGTTTTTGGTGTATAATTCCAAAAAATTTATTTGTGCAATTGGGAACTTCAAAAACTATAGTATATGAAGCTATATACTTATATAATCAAAGCTTCATTACCAAATTGAAAGTTTTAGATGTATTAAACATTCAACACCTGAATTTTACCAATGTCGAGCATTGCAAAAAGTAGATCATCCGTGTATTAGGAAAGCAGAATAGTCAGTTTTACAATGAACCAAAGAAGCCAGAATTAAAAACAAACAATTAAAATGTAAGCAAGAAGATGATCTTGCAGATGACACTAGCAATCCAAGTTATAGTTCTGGTATGCATTAGTTAATAGTAAGTTTGTACTTTAAATCACTATTTCTCAAAAGTGTAAATTTCAACACAAAAGGAACATTTTTGAAAACACTACTTATTTTACAGCCTTGAAACTTTGCACATATGTTAACACTATACAAATAAATATTTTAATGAGAGATTTTGTCAAAAAAATTATTCAAAAAATATTTATGGATTAAAATGTACAAGAATTTTCATCGTTTTAAAATTTTTGACGTGTTACTCCACATATGAATTTTTTAAAAAAAAACTAATCAAAATTTTGACAAATGCTCCTATTAAAATAATAAAAACAATACGATGAATACACAAAAAAAAAATTCATGACTGTACAACCAGCCAATTTTTAAAAAATGTTCCTTAAACTTGGTCATTTTTAACATTACGGAGATAGGGAAAATGCTGCGTGAAGTGACCCCCTTAAAAGGATTATTTCTATTATTTCATTACTAAAGGAATTCTTTGTTAATTACAAAGTACATCGTCTATTATTTATATGAAGTTTGAAAGCATTAACATAAAAATGAAGCCCGAAAAATAATATTTTACTTTAAGGAATAACGAAATGGATATTGAAAAACATCTACCTTTATTTTAAAGCTCAATTCTATGCTTTTCTCCGAAGGAACCGACTGCGCGATTGTTAAATCGGCTGCGCATTATAAAACGGCAGTTCCCAGGTTCGAAACTGAGGAAGCAAAAACACTTTCAATTTCGCGTTACGCTACTTTTTAAAGCTTTACTCTTAGCATCAGAATAGTTTTCTTTTTATTATTGCTTCACATTAATAATTTTTTTAATTCTAACGCAATATTTTTTCATAAGTCATACATCGAAATTTGAAGCTATATCGTATCTGTGAGAAGGAGGAGAAGATAGAACAATAATTTTACACTAAAAAGAATCGTGTGCGGGCTATAGAGAGGGGAAAGAAACCTGTCTTAAATCAAAAATAAGTGGAATGGAGCAAATTATGGAAAAGGGAAATCTTTTGACATAATTTTAGAAATCACTCACATTGTGCGCGTACAAACACGAGGAAAATAGAAAGCCCGAGCAACGCTGGGCTATGTGGTGAAGAGGGGAAGGGTTTAAGTCATTTTGAAAATGAGTATTAGAAGTTCTGATTTTGTGAAAGAAAGGGAAAATTTATAACAGTAGTGATAGCCCGTGCAACGCGAGGCCATGCATCTAGTTAATGAATTATTACTTGAAAAAATTCTATTATCAAATGTCATCCAGTACAAGTTTTAAAAAATGTATTTGAACTTGAGTGGAAGAATAAAAGTATTTTATTAACGTTTGTAAATTGTATATATATATATATATATATATATATATATATATATATATACATTACGTTGGGGAAAACGAAATCCATTATTTTTTCGGCAGATGGCTGTAGTGTCGATATCTCGTGAAGTATCGATCAAGTAATTTCAAATTTAAGCTCATTGTCAAGGTGAGAGTTCACACTAAAAAAATTATTTTGTCTTTTTTTGTTTGGTCCATTCAGTTGTGAGTTACAGGATGTTAAAAATGGAAGTCAACAAAGAGAAATTTGATACATTTTAAAGTTTTTCTTTGATAAAGCGAAAATGCAAGCCAGGGAGCTGAAATTGTGCGTGGCATTTATGGTGCCGATTCTGTAACAGCTAATTACGTGCAATTTTGGTTTCGTCTTTTCCGTTCAGGCCTTTATGATTTTAAAGATTCACTTCACACATGCAGGCCCGTCATCAAAATTGGCCATAAAATCACAGAAATAATCGAAGTTGACCGGCATGTTAAAAGTCGTAGCATTGCCATAAA